GTGAAGGTGGGGTGAAGGTGGGGTGAAGGTGGGGTGAAGGTGGGGTGAAGGTGGAGGAGAGGCAGGGCTTTCCTACGACGGCTAAAATTAAAACATTGTCTAACGATCAAGAGAATACAAAAGGCTTCAGATCTGGTGGCGGTTAAACCGACTAGTTCCCTTCTGACTTATCCCATTCTCGTGAATTTCACTAACATTTTCTTTTTGCTAAGCAAACATTGCGAGCCGCGCGCATAAAAACTCAAAACATTTGTTCCTGCCAGGGTTCGAACCTGAGACCTTTCGCGTGTAAAGCGAACGTGATAACCACTACACTACAGGAACTATAGACAGAGAGACAGATATATAACAGATAGACAGAGAGCACTCAAAAAGAGTGCATATACCTCCGCGAGCGTGTAACATGTATACATGTGTATAACAGCTGGCACGCTGCTGGCTGCTGCTGGCTGGACGCCTTAAGGCGAGCTGCTGCTGACTGGACGGCCTAAGGCGAGCAGCTGGTGCTGAATCGATCGCGCCAACGAGTGTAACATGTATACATGTGTATAACAGCTGGCTCGCTGCTGGCTACACACACACACGAACACACACACGGGAGCGATTACATTACCTCCCTGCAACTCCGTTGCGCGGAGGTAACTACGAAAACCATCGTCTGCGGTTCATATTTCGCCGGGAAAAATTTTCCTGCACGGCTGACAGTGTCATTTCTTACGCCGTAAGGAAAACGCCGTGTGTGTTATTCTGCTCTATTGTGATCATTTTGTTGCTGCTATGATTCGCTGTAGCCAGTATTAATTATAGTACTTGCCTAGATGCATTTCTTGAAAAGGAAATGGCGGATACAGCCAGTTCCATTTCTACGATTTTCTAAGAAAATATCTTAATATGTAAATACGTTGTTAATGTTTCTCTCCTCGTTATTTGACACAAGTGCATGTCCGGCCTTGATTGTATTTTATGCGACGAGAGACAAAACAAGGCGAAAGTGAAATCAAAGATAAATATGCGATGAAAAAATCGATATTTACACACGGGCGCGCGTACACGCACCCGGGACACGCACGGACGCACACACAGACGCACGCACACGTACACGCTCGCACACACTCACGCACGCACGTACGCACAGACGCAGGCGGATTGCCTTGTGATATAAAATATTAAGCAGAAATGTTGTTAAACGCTTGTTTGGGCCTTTCCGTAATAGTAAAATAACTACAGTTACGCTCACATACGGCAGATTGTAGGTCAAGGTGTTGATTAGAGAGTATTCCATTAATTACAAACACTTGGTGTCCCAATTGCGTGTTTTGCTATCTATGGTGTGGGAAGAGTGAAATTAGACGCTTGCTGGCTTTAATTATAGTGTAGGTTAGGCCTATAGGGCTGGCACCTGATGTCTGATCCCTTGTGTGTTTAATTGCTCTGGGGTGGATCTCAGATTTAAGTTATCGAAGTTTAACCAGACACTGCTGGCTAACGAGAATTTCTGTGTGACGTCAGATTTAGTGACTGAAGTTAGGACCAGTCCACCGGGGCGCCGAACGTAATATAAGCTGCATTATCAGGCTGAATATTATGAAACCATGCTGTTAAAATGCTGCTTGGCACCTTGGATTTTCATAATTATAATAATTGCACTGCCCTATCTATAAACGCGCTAACGAGAGCATTGAAGGCGATAGGCTCTGATACTCACCCCCTCCCCCCCCCCCCCCGAGAGCCAATATTCCTAGCATCATGAATATATATTCGTAAGTCAGCGCGATACAGTCCAGGTTGAGTGAGCTTATACCCCAGATTGAATACCAGACCAAAGCTCTGGCAAAGTCGTGCGAGATTAGTAGCGGGTTAGACGCGTGTCACAGCGTTGTGTGTGTGTGCGTGTCGTGTGCGTGCGG